TATTTGCAAACATTTCATTAGAAACCTAATCCTAAATTCCTTATGATTTCCACTCCCTATTCTTTCTTTTTTTTTCAGAATTTGTTCAAGACCCCTTTTTTAAAAATGTGTTTTTGAGGATGTCTATTATCAGTGAACTCATTCAGTGACTTAAATTTGTGAAGTGTAATGGTTCATCTTTATCTTCTCATGTGCTCCCATCTGTGCCTCAGTGGAGAGGTCAAGGGTCAGTCTGTCCACAGGACCTGGAGAATCATCAGACTACATCAATGCCTCTTATTTATTGGTAAGATTCTGGTTCTGATGCTCCTTTTCATATTCCTTGGTGAGATTCAATGGTGTGATTCGATGAGTCTGTACCGTTTACAGGGGTACCATGAAAGCCGTGAGTTCATCGCTACCCAGAATCCTCTGCCAAACACCATACAGGACTTCTGGAGGATGATCTGGGATCACAATGCACAGATCATAGTTTCCCTGCCTGATACACTGAGCTTGGTGATTTACACACACATTTATACACATCTGTAGTTCTATACACATCACTATTTATTATAAGGCATCTTATTTCCTGACCGTCACAGACCAGAGAGGGAGAGTGTGTGTACTGGCCCACTAAAGAACACCCAATCAGCTGTGAGACCTTCACTGTGACCTTCAGAGGTGAGGACAGCGTGTGCCTGTCCAACGAAGATTCGCTAGTGGTGCAGGATTTCATTTTGGAGGCCCTAAAGGTGAGAAACTTATTTCATTTATGTGGCCAGAACTCACTGTGAATCTCACTAAACCAGTCAAGAACATGCTGGAATCATATTTCACCCCAAAATCAACACAAAAATATTTCTATTTTGCATAAAGAAAATTCATTTAATTGCATATTTTAGTGTGATTTATTATTTCTGTGACACATCCCAATTATCATTACCAAAATGCAAATAAATCAATGAATATGTATATGGTAGTTTGTTGTGCTGCCTTTGATTACGTTTTATTTTAAGGTGATGTAATTACATTGTACTTAGTCAAAAAAGTACTGAGTATTATTAAATTAACTACATGTACTTACTAGGGTTAGGGTTGGAGTTTTGTTTTAGGTTAGTTGCTTGTAATTATGCATATTTACTGTTATTACTAATATATTAAGTACATGTACATCATCTAAAAATAAAGTGTTACCCTGCCTTTTAACTTAAAAAACAAACATTTTATGTAAAATATGAGAATGATTTGAAATGTAAGAAACTCAAAACATCTGGAAACAAAAATTACAATTATGACAGTGTATAATGAATTAAAGAAAATGAATTTATTGGCACATTTTAATAAAAAAAAAAAAAACATTTGTTTTCATGACAATTAAACTCATTGTACAGTCCAATTATCATTACCGAAATGTAAATAAATAAATAAATGGTTTTATTTGTTGTACTGCCTTTTAAATACAATTTTAAATAAAAAGTTTTTATTATAGTAATGTAAAGAGAATCTAATGAGAGTCATGGTGTGAAATGTAAGGAGAAACTCAGGTTTAGAAAATCTCGACACAGTGAAGTAATGATAAATGAAAATATTGTATATAATTAATTTAAAATTACATATTTCATTACAGTAAACAGGAATATTATAATGTAAAATAAATGTCTTAGTGGAACTAAAAAAGGCTTTATGCAAAATGTATTATCTTTCTGTTGATTTCGATGTATTTGTGAGATTATTCAACTCAAACAAAAACATTTAATATTTCAGTAATTCCAAGAAAGTTGCATTTAAGACTATGGATTAACAGAACTGTTTTGTGTGGCTGTCTGTGACAGGACGATTACGTGCTGGAGGTGCGTCAGTACCAGACGCCCTGCTGGCCAAACCCCGACAGTCCCATCAGCAACTCCTTTGAGCTCATCAACATCATCAGAGAAGAAAGCTCACGGCGAGAGGGACCTATCATCATCCATGATGGGTAGAGTTTCATTTTATTTACAAAAATGCAGAGGCTATATCAGTCAGGGGTATGTCATTTCTCACGGGTGCGACCTGCTGTGCAGGTCTGGAGGGTCGAGTGCTGGTTTGTTTTGTGCCCTGACCACCTTGGTCAACCAGCTGGAGGAGGAGAACAGTGTGGACGTCTATCTGACCGCCAGGATGATGAACCTCATGAGGCCGGGGGTCTTCGATGATATTGTAAGAGGACTGTAATATTAGTAAAATGATTTTCCTGTTTTGTTTGCAAGCACACATACAGTATCTATCTACACATTCTTAAATCAGGATACATTTACTTGACAAGCAAAATGGAACCTTTTTTTCCTGAAAAATTGATCAAAAGTGAGTTATTGCATAAAACAAGAAAAAAATATCTGACAATGAGGGTAGTAGAATAATCTTGTTTTCCCTATGAAAGATGTATTTTTTTCTGAGCCCATTGGCAAATATTTTATAATATTTTTAAATATTTTATATTACAAATAGTTTACATCAGAATTCTGAGGGGGGAAAAAGTTAGAATTGTGAAATATAATCTTGGAATTACAAGGAAAAACGTAAGAATTGTGAGAAAGAAAGTCAGAATTGTGAGAAATTAAGTTAGAATTGTGAGATATAAACCCAGAATTGCGAGGAAAATTTATTTGTGAGATATAAACCCAGAATTGCAAGAGATAAGTCAGAGTTGTGAGCAATTTATATATGAAAATGTTTTTTTTTTACGTGGATATGATACGCAATTTTTGCGTGCATTTGATACGCAGTTCATTTGCACACGCACCCCACACCACTACTAAACCTACCCTAACCAACCAACCAATCCTATGCACGTAAAAGCTCATTTTCGTGTATATATATTGCACGATAAACACACTGCGTGCTATAGAGACGCATTTAGTGTGATTGGGTTAACAAGCCAAGCTAAGTGACAAAATCATTTTTGCAATTTATACTTTGATTAGAAATGAATGATAAAATGTGCATGCTTGACATCTTCCTGTGTGTGCAGGAACAGTATCAGTTCCTCTATAAAGCGATCCTGAGTTTGGTGAGCACTAAGGAGGATGAGAGAGCTCTTCACTACTCGGAAAACAACGGCACGGTCCCCGCCAACCCATCGGAGAGCCTGGAGTCTCTCATGTAGCGATACAGGTCCTTCACACAAGGAATTGTACATTGAATCATGAGAAAGTAGTTTTGCTTGAAACCCTCCCAAAGTCTCTACACGGACTATATGGGTACAGGATATACTGTAATTTGGTCTTTTATTGTGCCTTTTTGTTACCTTTGTACTTTGATATAATATTATTGTTGTAACTAATGCCAAAATTTCTACTCTTTGGAAAAACAGTGACTTCTGTATTGCTGTTGGTGTGTTAGGTTTAGTTGGACATAACTGTTGACGAAATATTTATAAGTAGCAGGGCAAAAGATTTCATACGGTATCTATTTTGGGGGTAAAAAAAAATCTTTAGATAGAAAAAAAGCGTTCTTGAATGTAGCCTCCTAGAACAGAAGAGAGACGTGTGATTCTAATATATAAAACATCGGTCACACCGACAGACCAAAATACATTTATATGACTAGTTTCTTTTTTACTACGTTTGCTTTTGTTATTGTAGCAACTGAAGGATTCGTTTGTTTTTATGATAGAAATTGAATGATTTTTCAAATGAACTAGTTGATTTGTGTTATAACAAACTTTTTCATACATTTGCTCATTTCTGTTAACACATCCTTTTAGATCTTAATCAGCAGCGAATCTCACCATTCTGTTATTTATCTCCATATTTATCAACCTTTATTTCAACTGTCTTTTAGGGGTTTGGTCAAAAACTAACACAAGACGCACTTGGATAAAATAAAGAAAGCACAATAAAAATAAACAAAACAATTTCTTCTACATTCTCAAAGGCATTTCTTCATTTTTCCAGTGAGCATCCAGACTGCTTAACCACAAAATGTAGTTGACATGAAATACTTTTGGTAAGTGCAAAAGTGCACTTTTGCAAGATATTGCAAGTCCAATATTACTAGACTAATAGTAATGTGAATTATAATATATATATTATAAATAGTATTTTTTTTATATAAAAATTATTTATGGTATTGATATGTTGTTTAGAAAACCCTTTTTCCTCTTTATATGACTCTTTTTTTTTATTCAGATTTGCATTTATTTATTGACTTCTGACATTCATTTTCAGCTTTTATTGGACCTTGAGTTCATTCCAAGTGCTGCTGCACAACGTAGGCAAAAGGCTACAAATTTAATTCCATTTAAGATTCTATAGATTTTTTCTAAGTTGAATGGTCCCTCATTGAGGTAAGTATCATCTCTCATTGCCTGTTCACACACATTTTAAAATGACCGATTCTTCAATAGATTTCTCATATTTCTGATATAATCTTTTCTATAATATTACATTTTTATATAAATTCAGTGGTGGAGTAAAAAAGTACATATACTTGAGTACTGTACTCAATTACACTTTTTGAGTATCTGTACTTTACTTGAGTATTATTTTTTTGTGTGGAAACTTTACTACATTTGAATGACATATCTTACTTTTTACTCCACTACATAGATGTGTACTTTTGTTGGGGTGGTAGGAGTGGTAGAGCGGGGAGTCAATTCAGTTCTTTAATTTCTATAGGTTTTATAACATTCTAAAATCATTTAATTCCACAGATACTACAAACTGGTAGGTGTATTCAATTGGTTGCTTCAAAGGGCATAAGGTACTGTAAGTATTACATACAACAACTATAAAACAATGCATTGACATTTACTTTTAATACTTAAGTACTTTGAAAAAAACGAGTACTTTTACTTGAGTAAAAATCAAAAAAATCTTTACAACTTTTAGAGTAATATTTGCCCTATAGTATATGTACTTTCACTCAAGTAAGGAAGTTGTGTACTTTGTCCACCTCTGTATAACTTTTGTGTTGAAATTAATTAAATGTATTAGAATAAAAATGAACTTCCAATCTATAACAACAGTAAAACAAACGGCCAACTTAAACAGACAGTGTTTATTTATTATTTAATATAATATAGTATATACATGTACATAAACATCATGAGGACTTCAGATGGGCCATTTCCACTGGCTGGTCGGTGCTTCCTCTACGAGTGGTTCCCATGGTTTCCATTCCGTCATCTTCCTGGACAGTGTCAGTTCAGCCTCAGCCTGCGGAGACACGGGACGGACACAATAACCGCTGAGGTACAACAAATAGTTCCAATGTTGCTTCAGAGCATTCATTTTCTATAAACTCAGTTAATGACCCAAAGGCTTTGGGATCTTCTCACCTGTGCAATAACCTCCTCAATCTGTCCACCATTGATTTTCTTTTCAAGCTTTTCCACATCTGGCTCCTTTATAGAACAAAAATGACATGTACAAATCAACACAATCTCTTGCTCACTTATTCAACAGTTAAAGCCAATCTAAATCTCAGTCTTTTACTGCAGAGGAAGTACATTTGAAATGTCTTACGGCTTTGACGTGATTGAACCTCTCGTTGATCAGTTGCTCAGTGTATTTCCTGTAAGCAGCGTCCTGAGGCATAGTCTGAAGAGAGCCTAGGATCTTAGTGTACAGAATCCGAAGACGCTTTAGGAAAGAGAACAACTCTTCAATAGATTGCATTTGACAAATAAGTAAAATTCCTCGAACTCAAAACACACAATGACAAACAAAATACTTTATTTGTATATGAAAGAAAATACTGTTGTACAGAATGGCGATGAATAATAAAACGAAATCAAGAAAGACGTTTACTTCATGTGGATTGTGGGAGACTGCAAGGCCAACCAAGCCTGTGGTCTGAAAATAAGACAAAAAATAAGATATTAAGAAATTACTACACATATGCATATTCGTATAAATCTCACTCTGAAATGTCAAATACACAACTTAATTTCCCATGCAGGACATGTAGAGCTGCACAACTATGTGTATTTACTGTATACATAATAATTCATTGGCCATCACAAGCCTTCAAAACAAAACACGACTGATGCATTTAAAGACTAAAGACAAACGTGCAGAAATATTTAAACGCTTTAGTATAGACACGAGCTTCGTTTACGAATACATTTCACTAGTTATTATTAATATATTTTCATGACCTCCCCACGTACCTTTTTGATCAAACCAGCCATTTCTTCCTCTGCTGCGATTCAATGACGCAACTTCCGTCGCCTGAGTGTGACGTCCGTGCTCGCTCATATCTTTCTTCGTGGCTGCATCCGAAAGCTTATAAATGCCCAATAGACATATATACATAGACATATGTATATGTCTATGATAAATGCCGATATATGCTGCCTTCAGAGGATGCATTCCAGGGTAGGAAAGCTTTAAGGCACGTCCTAATCCAATGTTATATTCGCCTCCTGTCTCCTGAGATGAGAGAAACCTTCATCTTTTTTTTTCTTTTTTTCTTTTTCTTTTTTCTTTTCTCCAAAATTATATATTAATACATTAGAAAAGAGAAACCTTCATCTGATCGCTTTAAAAGCAGGATAGATGCATTAGAGATGGTTGGATGTAACTTATCCTTCGAGTGCCAGTTTCTCAATATGCTTTAAAAGTATTAACTGCTTGTAAAGTGACCCATATTTGTTTTGACCACTGAAAATGTGTACGATTAACCAATTTTGCTCATTGATATCTTGGGAAAGGTGTTTCTTTTTTGTTGTTGTTGCCAATTTGGAACTGTCACAACATGATTCAATAAAGATTGCTACGTCAACAGATTTCACTAATAGACATCTGTGTAAAAATAAAATAATTTTGCTTCCATCTTTCTAAAGTTTTTTTTTTTACTCCCTGTAGTTTGGCTCCAAATCTCAGGCCATTTCGACCCTTTAAGTTACAAAATAGTGGATTATTAAATCTATTCCATTTAATATTTTGGGTTTCGTCACTATTTATGTTTTTCTGTCTTCAGAAAAAATATATATATTAACAAAATGATAAAATTGAGGTGAATTTTGTTTTATTTGACACAGCCTATAATCTTTGAACAAATCCTTGAGTCCCCTACTTTTTACTGGTCATACATTATTCTCGCAATGAGGATTTGACCTCGTTGACCTTATTATTAAAATGTAATATTTGTATTATTTCAATAATGTAACTGACTAATTTTTAATAATTTGTTGTACATGTGACTCAAACAATCCAGGTCCTGTCCTGAGAAGAAACATTGCAGATTTTAAATCAGCTAAAAATTACTCACAGCAGAAACAATGAAGTTCAAAAGAACACAGATAATGTGCAAGAACTTACTTCGTGATTAATATTCTCAAGCAAGTAAAAGACTGTAATACAGATTAGAAACAAGTGATAAAACTAATCTAAGAAAATCCTTCCACAATCTCTTCAGGTTCTGTGGGTCAGATGATCAACTGCTATATGCAAAGTCCTGAGTTCAAATCCCACCAATGTTTTTGTTAAATTGTTGCCCATAAATCCAGCAAAGAGTCCCAAACATCAGTTTTTAATATGAAAGCCACGGTGGATCTACTGGTTAAACGCACGTTCTCTGGTGGTGAAGCTGGGATAGAGATGTGGGTTCAAACCACAGCTCAGCGTGTTGAAAATCAAACAACAGAGACTCTGTCAAAGTTTTAACTGCTTTATTGGGCAATCAGGTCACTAGTCAAATACAAGTTCCAGCACACGTCTCAGCAAGAGATCTGTGGCTCACCGGTAAGAGCGCTGCCTCACGGGTTCAGAGATTGCGGTGTCGATCCCAACCAGATCTCCGCGATACGAGTGAATGCTGTGTGTGTGAAGAGAACGGCCGGGGACGCTTCGGATAACCCCCTGAACCCCGCCACCATGGCCAGCAGGTGTTATGCTTCTTAATGTAAACATTTTGTGCTAAATTGTGTTATTGTGTTAACACAATAAAGCCACAGATCTTGATAACAAGTCTTGATTTGCAACGGTGTAATTCACACAAATCACCACAGGAGGGCGCAACAGACTCGATTTGCAATAGTGTAATTCACACAAATCACCACAGGAGGGCGCAACACTTTTATATTTATTAGACTCGATTTGCAACGGTCTAATTCACACAAATCACCACAGGAGGGCGGAACACTGTATTTATTTAGCAGAATGACAGAAACCGAGGCGCAGTTTTCATCCGCTCCACTAGGCGGCGTGAGCGGGCCTCACTGTCAGAGCGACTCCTTCGGGTCCTTGGCAACACTGACGCTTGTTGATGACAGACGCTACAACATGTGCACATGACAGGCACACAACTGGACATATTTCAGCAAATAAACCGACATACAGTCCGATAACATGCGGGAATTGAGTGTCATTTAACTTCTCGGTAAGTAACTTTGGACATAAAGTGAATTTCTTTTGTAAAATGATATCGCGACGCTTTATGTTTTGTATAATTGTATTTTTCACTGATGCATCGTTCTGCTGAAATGTCATCATAGCAGGGCTCGTCAGTGTAATGTTCATGGTGTCTGTAAACTAAATGTTGTTTAAGCTTGTTATGAAAGCATTCGCGTCTTCTATAAAAAGAGAAAAAACTCGTATTTTTTTCTCAACACACTCTCAGACCTTTAGAAGGGAAAATTAATCGGGTGTTGCTTTACATTTATAATCAGAATGATAAGGAATGCTGTTTTTATGTGTGTTGTTATTGTAGTCTTACTGTAGGTAATATACTGGATTGATGTTTGTTAATAGAGTCAGTTGCTCTGATGTTTCTGCTGCTTCATGCTTGTGTAGAGCTTTAGTGATTTTACTTCTAATGAAAACCATCATACATACAGTCCAGAACAGAACAGAACAGGGTTAAAACCGTGTGCTGGAAACCAGCCTTTTAGGATTATTGTAAATTTAAAACTTAAACTAGTCCCAATTATGGTTGAATCACGGAAGCTACACCAGTTATTTTGTCAAGAGATTTCTTGTTTATTTTTGTGTTACATTGATGTGTCATTGCACACAATACTTCTATGCAAACTAAATATAGCTCATCCCAAATCTCTCCTCAGCAAACGTATACAAACACAATCTGCTTTCTCAAAATATAATATAAAAATTATTATGAAGAATATTAATAAAGAAAAAATAACATTAAGCAATACAATTTTTGTTTTCAATTATTCGTGTTTATTTGAAGGAAAGTACACTTTAATTTGAATTGAATTAAAAGATTATTATTGATACAGCCTTACTGAACTATACTATATTAATATAATAGTTATATATTTTCACACTGTACAACTTTAGACTTTTAATTCTTCCATTTCCTTCTATTGACTAGTCTTTAGACTAACTTTCACATTCTCATTTATAGATGTTTCTAAAACTAATCTTTTTTTTTTTTTCATGTCTTTCCTTACAGAAGGAATGTGTTTGGACCATTACATCCAGTCATCAGAAGCAGAGCTGTGGGACGTGTGGACAGACATTGACTGTAATGATGGACTTCTGCTGATGGACAGGTATGTACATGCTTATGTTTTACTGTGCTAAACATGTAGGTTCCCATCATTTTCTTTTTGGAGGGTGACCCCTTTAAAAAGCAAATGATGGGAACCTAAATAGGTGGGGAAGGGACGGCGGGGCAAAATTTTTAGACAGCTAATTTTCATTGTATAAAAAAAGCATAACCCCTGCTGTACATTGTGGTGGGGCTCGGGGGGGGACCCAAATCATCCCCGCCCCTTCACACATACAGCATTCACTCGTATCAACCTCTGAACCCGTGAGGCAGCGCCCTTACCTGTGAGCCACAGATCTCTTGCTGATACATGTGCTGGAACTTATATTTCACTCTTGGAGTCCTGTGATTTTACAATAAATCATGCTGAGGTGGGGATCGAACCCATGTCTCCAGTGCAACCCATCAGACGAGAACGTGTGTTAAGCCACTGCACCACTGTGGCTTTCACACTGAGATCTGGTGTTTTGGCCACTTTGTTTTTATATAATCACATCAATTTTACGCTCATATCTCATTTACTAAAGGAAAGCCTTTGTGCGTATATATTCACACACTCATATTGCAGAGACCCGGCTGAGATCGAACCAGCAACCTCTGAACCCGTGAGGCAGCGCTCTTACCTGTGAGCCACAAATCTCTTGCTGATGATGTGCTGGAACTTATATTTCAGTGTTATCCTGAGAGTTTCCAATAAAGCAGTTAAAGTGAGATTCAAACCTGTGTCTTCATCAGTCGTGTGTGTTTATCCGCTCGCCCATCATGGATTTCACGTTGACAGCTGGTTTTTTGGGCTCCTTGTCTAATGAGAACTATTGAAAGTCAGCAATAGTGGGACTTGAACTCAGGACGCTGTGATCGAAACACAACTCTTTCTCTCCTGAGCCACTGAGTCTGCTGAGATGAAGAGCATTTTCAACCGGTTTGATCCAGAGTTTTGTGTTAAATGATGAATAACTTTAACAAACATGGATCTGAAACAGGACTTTCTGGTTGGTAAGGTTGACAACTATACGCTGAGCCTGTGAGTCAATTATGTTGTTTTAGATTTCAAGTTTAAAGTTCTTAGCGTATGTAAAAGATTATCGTCATTGATTAATAATTCATTGACTACTCAGATCTATTCTTATAAAAAAATGTTTTTATTTTTAAGTTATTCTTTGTATCAACTGTATCAGTGTGTGTGTGTGTGTGTGTGTTGTGAATTGTGTTGTCCTATCGTCTTTCTATATAAATGCAAAAAAAGTCATGTAGACGATGGAGTTTACATAGATCTCCGCTGATGGGTTAAGCTGATTCTCGGGAATAAGACTGAATTCGCAAGGCCTACAATCACCACATGAGGGGGCAACTCTTTTATATTTATTAGAATTGAGGTGCAATGGTCTAATTCACACAAATCACCAAAGGAGGGATACACTCTTTTATGTTTTATACACTTGATTTGCAATGGTGTAATTCACACAAATCACCACTGGAGGGAAACACTCTTTTATGTTTATTACACTTGATTTGCAATGGTGTAATTCACACAAATCACCACAGGAGGGTGACACTCTTTTAAGTTTATTACACTTGATTTGCAACGGTGTAATTCACACACATCACCACAGGAGGGCGAAACACTTTTACATTCATTGGACTTATATTGTTTTGTTGTTTTTATTTGCAAATATATCTATTTGAATTTTGAACAGAAGACAGGACGGAACATAGATAGTGTAAATAGTTCTGTTTGGAAGTGCTTATGTTTTTCTCCTCTCACCCTCTTACAGAAGTGTAGCGCATTTACACTAGCTCGTTAGACGATGTAGTTTACAAAAATCTCCGCAGGTGGGTTAAGCTGATTTGCGGTAATAAGACTGAATTTGTTAGGCCTAAAATCACCGCATGAGGGGGCAACACTTTTATGTTTATAAGACTTGACTTGCAATGGTGTAATTCACACAAATCACTGCAGGAGGGTGACACTCTTTCATGTTTATTACGCTTGATTTGAAACGGTGTAATTCACACAAATCACCACAGGAGGGCAAAACATTTTTATGTTTATTTAGACTCGATTTGCAACGGTGTAATTCACACAAATCACCACAGGAGGGCGAAACGTTTGTAAGTTTATTTAGACTCGATTTGCGACGATGTAATTCACACAAATCACCACAGGAGGGCGCAACACTTTTCTGTTTATTAGACTTGATTTGCATCATTTTAATTCACACAAATCACCACAGAGGGCGACCCTCTTTTATGTTTATTAAACTTGATTTGCAATGGTTTAATTCACACAAATCACCACAGGAGGGCGACCCCCGTTTTACATTCTTTGGACTTATATTGTTTTGGTGTTTTTATTTGCAAATATATCTATTTGAATTTTGAACAGAAGACAGGACGGAACATAGATAGTGTAAATAGTTCTGTTTGGAAGTTCGTTTTTCTCCTCTCACCCTCTTACAGAAGTGTAGCGCATTTACACTAGCTCGTTAGACGATGTAGTTCACGAAGATCTCGGCAGGTGGGTTAAGCCGATTTGCGGTAATGTCATCACAAGAAGGTGAAACACTTTTGTGTTTATTTAGACTCGATTTGCAACGGTGTAATTCAGACAAATCACCATAGGTGGGCAAAATATTTTTAATTTTATTTAGACTCTATTTGCAAAGGTGTAATTCACACAAATCACCACATGAGGACATTTTTATTTACCAAAAATTGACAGATAAGAGTGGAAGAGCCAGTGGCTTAGTGGTCTGAGCGGTAGATCTTGATGTGGGCAACCCAGGTTCAAGTCTCTCTCTTGTGGTGTTTAGTTTCATTGGTTTATCAACAAATAAAAAAGACAAAATTACCAAAAATTGGTGAGTAAGAGTGGAAGTGCTGGTGGCTCAGTGGTCTGAGTGTTTGATCTCGGTGTGGGCAACCCAGGTTCAAATCTCTCTCTTGTGGTGTTTAGCTTCAATGGTTTTTCAACAAATAAAAAAGACAAAATTACCAAAAATTCATAAGTAAGAGTGGAAGTACCAGTGGCTCAGTGGTCTGAGCATGTCCTCCTGGGGTCAGAAGGATCTGGGTTCAAACCCCAGCCTGGTATGTGAAGCATGGTTGCGTGAAGGACATCCAGTCGTGAGCTGTGACAAGCTGCAAAACTGAGCGGATCAGGTCATGACCAGGATGAGAGAAGGCAGGACACGAAGGGGGGAGTACATATCCAAACCGCTCCCCCTGGGACTTCCAAGACAATCTCGAGCAGGGGTTATGTAAAAGGAGTCCAAATTTTCAAAAAATTACTTGTAAAATTTTTCCCAAAAAAGCCTAAGTCAACATTTTGGGCGTGGCTTATGGACACTCCTCCCTTTTGGGCATGGCTTATGGACACTCCTCCCTTTTGGGCATGGCTTATGGACACTCCCCTTTACTGTTGATTGTACCTGCACTCCATCAAGGTTCAAATCTCAGCTGTTGCTTTCATGGGGAAACCAACCAGCACTTGAAAGGCATTCCCACTTACACACATGCTGAAAAATTCAGACTACAAATACATTAATAAACTGGATTTGTAATGAGGAAATCTTAACTGGTCTGTTTTATCTTGGCAATCATTAAATTGCAAATCAGTCACAGCTTGTCCAAATTAATAGACAAACTAAACCACACATCATCTGAATAATTAGTTAATTGACTGATCAACAGAGTCAGTAACAGCAGGTGTTGATGTTTAGAAAGCCAAGATCAGCTGGAAATCATGAACAGCACACAAATGTCACATTTACCATTTTATTGGACACAAACTGGAGTAGATCATTGTCAAAAACATGCCAGTTCAAAACAGAAACAGGTTGAGTCAGGAAAAGGCTCAGATGCATAACAGTTCGGCGGTTGCTCCTCTCAAAATACTCCATGCAAAGTCACTCACTGCTTTTCCTCATGACCTCCAGCAGCTCAAACCAAGAGATCCCTACAAACAGACGGCAGTGAGACAATCAGAAACACTTCAAATTTCACTAATAACTTCCCCTAGGAAGCTACAAATCTCAGAAAGAAACCAAGTGATTGTTTATAGAATAAATAAAGATCATAGGAGGTGAAAACGCATGCTCATTTTATGAGCAATTAAACCAATGCAACAGCATCTGTAAGATATCAATCAAGCTACAAAATAGAATTAAATGTCACTTTGATGTCAATCCAAAACAAGTTAACATACAGACTCCTTCTACGAGCTATACAAGTATTTTACAAGTATTTTGCAAGTATTTTGCAAGTATTTTGCAAACCTGTTCCAAGAGCCACACCAACATTGCACACCCTCGACGTCTTTCTTATCTGACCCATATATGTCTGGTTTTGGAGTCTCTACTAACGAGCTGATGAGTCGATTCAGGTGTGATTGATTAGGAAGAGTTGGAAAATGTGTTGTGTTGGGGTTCCTCCAGCTATTTTACCTGCAAGTGACGTGTGTTTAACCACTGCACCATCGTGGCTTTCACAATATCATCTGTTGTTTGGTGCAGTTTGTTGGATATGCATTTTAACATAGGCAATCTAAGATTCAAACGCAACCATTTATTTATTGAACTCTTTTGAGTTTATTGAGGGCTTTGTTTTCTGTGATAAAAATATTAGCAACTGTGGGATTTGGACCAAGAACTGAATGAAAGACAAACGATTAGCCACTGAGCCACGGCATTTGTGATGTTTGATATGGTTCATTGTGGTTGTTTTTTTAGTTTAGCAACAGCATTCATTAAAACAACAATTTATTGTTCAGCTGCTAGAGCGGTTTTTTACAGGGTTGGAGATAAACTCAGGAAAGTGGCTCGTCAGGAGCAGGATTAGGGACTTTTTTTTAAATCTCTTTCCTCTTCATGCTGTTTTCATATATTAATGCAGATACACTTAGTGTCCACAAGGTGGGGTACATGAACACATTAATCTGGTCTCTGGTTTCATGCACACATGCCTGCTCTCCATCCAGGATTCTCCAAACACTTGTCCTAT